CGCGACGACGACCCCCGCTTCCACCCCCACCCCCACCTCCGCATCAACCCCGAGGACCTCCACTCCAGGCTCATCACCGCCGAGCAGCTCAGGCTTCACGCCCGGCTCCACGATAAGGACAGGTGGGTAGTCCACGCTTTTATCAGTAGAGGCGAATCCAGCATTTTGGCAACACCGGATTCACTCCGTTTAACCCTATGCTAAATAATCGATTCTTGTCGGAGTACCTAGCTTTTCCAAGAATCGATACATTTCAGTGGGTTTAAATGGAGGAATGCAATGTTGCCAATTAGCTGGATCCGCCTCTGTTTATCAGTGGCATGGCGTGCTTTGCGAAACATCGATTGAGCTTCCATTTAAACTTAGGGGAAAGGATCGATGAAGAGGGTGTTTGCAACGAACACCATAATAATCGATTCTTTACTATAGCTATGAATGGGGAAATCTCGATAATCGATCATTCACACTTCGCCACTGGCTTTTATAGTAGTTGCACCTCATCCCACGGAATGGAGCTACATTCACTGTCTTTAAAAACAACATATCGACGGTGAAACTACCACACCACACATTTCGTTTGCAGTGTTTAAAAATGCTCTCTTCTATTTAATTGTTTGAAATGGATCAAATAAAGTCTAGGTTACTTAAGTTAAAGTTTTTACAGAGTTTTCTTTGCACCGGGAGGAAAAATCACGAAAGTTTTTAAGAATTGACGTTGAGTATATTTTTCCATTTAAAATTTAAAGTATGGCCGAATGCCTGCAACGTCGTAAACCTTCAGAAAACATAGAGAGCCTTGATTTCTTTAATTTCATATTTCTGTTTGAAAAATTGAAGGAAAACGGCTAGAAATAACAATCTTAAAATTTTGTGGATTCCGTATCGATTTTCTTGTAAAATTATACAACTTTTTTTACAGGTGCTCGCCTGAATTGGAGAGGTCAAGGTCACGAGAGGAGGATAGGTATACGCCTCTCCATGTACGAATGGAAGAGGATAGGCAACTACAAACTAGGTTAGAAGAAGAAAAAGCAGCGGTGCATAAAAGACTTTCGCCAGGTAAGATTTTTTAAAATTTCACATCGTATCTAATACTCTGCTTACTCACACGAAGGTCTAGTCCTTTGACTATGAACTTCGGTTCCCTTCGTGTGGCGGAACTTTTTTTCTTTGTCAGTCTCAAAACCGTCAAGTCGATAAAGTCAAATTCCTGTCATTGCGTTGGAGAACCAACTGCAATCATGTACCATCGGAAACCACTCAACGGAAACCATCAAACTTGATCAACGAACGCCGCAGTAGGTTAGGTGCGAGATCTTGGTTGCATCGGCAGCTTTGACAAGCGATGACCATTAATTCCCCCGTGGAATTAGCTATTCAAAAAAGCCGAAGATGCAGCCTCAAATACCCCGATTTTTTGGCCCTAATTAGTCGAGACCCAACCCAATTAACATCCACGCTCCTAATAGCAGATCGACTGAAAACAGTATAGCGGTTTTTATATTTATAAAAAAAAATGATATTAAATAAATAAGATGCCGGACTTGAAAAAGTAGACGGCTTGTTGCCGAACAACATTAACATTCAACACTTTAATGCCGTGCTAAGGAAGAACGTCGTATGATTCTTCAGATGTTGCCACATTTCGTCCGTACAAACCGAAATCACAGGTAAAATTGTGAGGAAAAAAATTATTGATTTTTCATAAGGTTCTGCTAGCACCTTTATCTAAAATATCTAAAAATTACAAGAAAAATGTGATAAATTTCTTCGAATATGTATATTTTATCGGGGGGAGATCTGGCCACGTCTGAATACTCATATGGCGTTTTTCTTCTGCAGTTTAGTGGGGGTATTAACCGGATTTGCTGATTTGCTAAGTGGACGAACGCGAGACGCTCAAATAATTTTAGTGCGAAAAATTGCTCACCTTGAGAGTTAAGCCACTCAAATTTTGCAAAAAACAAAAGAATCTCTTAGAGTGACGCAAACCAAAAGTAAATTGGAAGTTTAACGCGATGAAAAAACAGTAAAATATTAGCGAAATATTAATGAAGTGAGGATTAGATTATTCGTCTTATGTAAGCATGCTTTGTAATATTTAAAATTTTCATGGTGCGAAACCAATAATCTAAGTATACCCTCCGAGCATCCTTGCTTTAGGTGTTTTTGATCAAGTTTCATATAGATCGTATTCGATAGTGGTTCGATGTATCGTTTGGTTCAAACAATAGAACATAACCTCACACAAAAATTTTAGGATTTAAGTAAGAAAAGCTGAAAATTTTGAACAATTTCACTTTTCATTGTCATTTTATACTCATTAGAATAAAACATCTGAGAAACCCGTTCCCCAAGATCACTCAATTGACTTTTGAGGCCATGTTTACATGTTGAACCAATCGATATCGATAGAATCTCACCTGTTCGATGTATCGAATACGACCCATTAGATCCTCCTCAAATGAGAGAGAACTGTTTTGAAACATGCAAATGAGGCACATCCCTCGTATTTGAATACGATTTCAAGAGCGGGGACTGTAAAATATCAAATTGCAATTCCTGAGTGACAAGAGTCGTTCTTTGTCGGAAAACCGAAGCTGGATGCGGAGACGGGGCATTCGGAGGTGAGTCCTAAATCGATATTGACGTTTAGTGTGAATAACAAGCACGTTAGAGTTTAAGAGATGCATTTTAATCGACCGAGAAACTGTGGTGATGTTGGGAGGGGGGGAGGAAAAATGTTGACCGATTCACATACGATGATTTACATGGGCGGAAACGTCCACATGGCAATGTGGCATCTCTACTTTGATTGTTCCCTCTGCGAGTGGTTATTCCAAAAATGTTTCCGTTTTTAATCCGTTTTAATTCCTTTGATACAGAATTTAGCACCCAAGACGTCAGTGAAGAGTTAATGGTATACAAATTGTTTTCTTTCTCCCTCTCATCTCAACTCAAACTGCAAAAATCGGCTTGAAGGAGTGGGAAAAGAGCCGCGCCTCAGAATTATTTTTTAAAGTTAAAATTTATTAAAGTTCACTTTGCTCTTAAGTAACAAATTTGTTCTGAATGACCTTTGAAAAGCATTTTTAAAAATCTCTCAAAATTTCGTATTGGGAAACACCTTCAGGCTAACATTTAAGTAAAATTAACGAGAGGTAAAATTTAAGGAAATTTTAAGGGAAAAGTAGTGTTCAAAAAAACTCTTAAAACATCACCGTAGTTTTTTTTAAAAAAATTCAAACATTAAAGTTTTGAAAAACCACAGTTGATATTTCCAGAGTTTTTTTAAACATTTTTATCTTTAAATTTTACTTTAAAAAATACCCAAAAATAAGAATCCTAAAACGAATATTTTTAACAGTTCTTCTAGAGTTTACTTGTTGAAATTTAAGAGTTTCTAAATCTAAGAGTAAATTTTACTTGCAAAAATACCCAAAAATAAGAATCCTAAAACGAATATTTTTAACAGTTCTTCTGGAGTTTTCTTTTTGAAATTCAAGAGTTTCTTAAAAGTTGTTTCAACAGTCGTTGTAAAATTCAGCAGTGAAAAAATAACAGCATATTTTTAGCCCCTCATATTCTTTAAAGAAGTGGCCTCCGTATAATCGACTCAAATTTGGACGCGTGACCGCGGATCCCATCAATGCTAGCTACTTGAGCCTGAGTGTACCTGAGGGATCGAGGACCACCGGCTACATCCAGAGGGTCGCAACCCTTCCGGAGCCGCGGGTCTCGGAATCCGTCACTCACGTGCGGAGCCGCGAACAGGGATCAGGGAGGGGATGAAGACACGCGGGCAGTCCGAGGGCTGCCCTGTGCGTGGCCCGCGGCCTGTGTTTGTTTTCATCCCTTTGTCTTGACCCCGTGCCTTGGCCCTGTCTGCCCCGTGCCCTGTCCCAAGTCCCTTCGGATCAGTCCACCTGACTGCGAATGTTCGCCTCGAGATTTCCTTCGACCCGGATCAGCGAGGCTCCGAGAGGAAATTATCAGATGTAAATTCGCAATATTTTGAGCCCTCAGACGTTGCTATTTTTTTTTTTTTTTTTTTTTTTTTTTTTTTTTTTTTTTTTTTTTTTTTTAAATTTTTGTTGTTTTTTTATTCTATTTTCAATATTTTTTTTTTTTTAACTGAGTCGCGTTGATGTACCGACAAGATTTCTTACGTTCCTAATGTCTGAACCAATTCACGCCGAAGGGTCCATTTCGTTTCATAATTATTAATTTAATTTCTTTTGGACTTCAAACATCGCAATCGATGTCTCGAAGTTCGATATTTAACAAGCTCTAAGGTGCGTAGAATCGATCACAAAGTCGTTCGAGAGGTCGTTTCAAGTTACACCATCGCACGAGCCGAGTCGCTTTTAGTTCGAGGAATCTAAGTATCACGGAATCCGCATCCCGAGACAAAATATTAAAGCACGGCCGACAAGAATTACCCTGAGCTTTGTATTAATCTAGGTTGCCAAGACATCCAAAAAAATGGAACACCCGCGCCGAGGAGTGCTGTACTTTACTGGGATGAGTGCGCGATTTAAATCACCGGAATGAATTAGATTCTAATGAAAATGATTGATATTTTATTTAACATCTAAATTCCCGGGACAACACTAGATTTCCTGAGGCCGGGATTCAGGGTGGTTATTTTAATTGGCACTAGTAAAAAAAATTCTCTGCCAGAAGAAACAAACGCGATAAGCGATGGATATTGTGTCAGCGCTTGAATACAACTATTCCTACTCCAAGGTTGGCCGGGATGCATACACAGAAAATTGAAGGCGCTCTTAATTCCTTTACCTGCTACTCTGGAGGCATTCTGTGAAAAGTTAATCACAAAATGCCATTCTTAAACTTGAGGGAAAAGGACGCGTTAAAGATTACTTTAGCAGCTTAAAAGACACTTTTTGCTCTAAGATAAAGTAGATTTTGATGCAAAATTCAGGTGTAGGTTCAAATTTTAGTCGGCCTCAAAAATCGGCATCGTCGAGTTTAGCTGAAGACTTCGGAAGGTTGGTTAATAAAATTGAGGGGGCCTTGTAGTCATTAGTTGTATCAGTATCATTATGAAAAGGTGATTAGGCTTCGGGTTGTAGTTGTGTTGTAGACGCCTGGGCCGCTTTGGACGGACATGAGCACCGGTATGAACTAGTCAAGTGAGTCATTGAGAGTTTGACCATCCCGACCCCCTCCTTACCAGGGCTGCCAAATAGCACCAAAAACCCCAAATTTTTATGATAATGATAACGAGAATGTATAATTTTGAATGAAATTAGACGAGACTGACCCCCCTCCCTCTCTTATGACTAATGGCAGCGAATTAGGTGGGTTTTTTTAAAAGAACCCGACTCGCCGCTTATATTGTCCAAGTAATTACGGATAATTTTGATCTCATATTCAGATGATTTCAGGAAATTTTAAACGGGGTCATGTGACCCTATTTAGAGCTGGACTTACAGGTCACTTTTTACATCCGTACGGGTTTCAAAAAGAGGATGGTCGATTTTACTCCACACTTGAAAAGTTCCGAAAGAGTCCTCCACCGTCCCCCTAGACGTCTATCAGTATTCAACATGTAACACCAATTTTGATTTTTAAGGAATCCATACCATTTTTCGTGTGGTTGTCACGCTTGAATGTATATTGAAAATTCTCTCATTTTCACGGAGAATAATTTTCTATCGATCAAAAGAAATACAAATTAACGAGACTTATCGTTGAATAAACCAATGGCGAGGCGTGAATGATCGATTATCGATATCTCCTGATTTGAAGCCAGGGTAAAGAATCGATCACTAAGGTATTCGTTGCGAACACCTTGTCTATCGATCCTTTTCCATAGGTTTAAATGGCAGATCAATCGATAAATCGCAAAGCACGCCACGCCTTTGGAGTAAACAGTTGATCTCCTTGTTTCAAACGGTATTCTTGTAATTTTAAAGAGACGTCCTGTTACTTTCAAGAGACTCCCGGTTGACTTAGCGAGAATTTTCCGTCCGGGATTTATTAACTGGTAATGTTTTCTCAGTACTCAAGTCGTGTTTGATCTATGTTAAATC